TTCTATTTCCTTCACTCAAAAACAAGTGGTGTCCGTGGCTCCTGTCAAAGCTCAGGAGTGACGAGGGAGGAAGAATAATAAGTGAGCAATGGTCCAGTATAGGCGCATAGGCATGGTATAGTCAGTTCAGCTCCATTGGGCTCAGCCTATGGCCTATGAACTTCAGGCCCTGTTCTTTGCCTTTGAAGCTCCTCAGTCCTATTTGCGTACAATCCGTCACTCTTGTGGAGTCGTAGTCTCCTTATATTTTTCCTTTCTCTAAAATTGCAATTATTGTGTCACGTTTTGCTCCGAGGTCCAGTACGGGTTCAAACCGTCCAGACACGAGGCTAGTGGAAAAGGAAAAAAGGAACAAAACGACAAAGACCACGGTTCCTGATGACTTATTTGGTAAGGACCCAAACGAAAAGTAATAAAATATCGAAAAGTTAATATAATTTTTTATACCTAAAATGTAGGCTCATCTTGATTTTAGGCTCTCAAATTCTAAATATGTGATTTTGGTACTTAAAATTTGATCCATTTTAAAATATTAATCCTTAGAAGTGTAAGGGTGTTAAATCTGTTGAAGTATCGTAAGTGGTGATTTAGACTCATCAAATGACACATCTGAATCTTGAATAGATAAGGGAGGATTAAAAAAAAAAATCCTCAAAATGGAACTAATTATCCCTTTTTTCTCTTGTTTCATAAGTTATTCACTACGTTGCGTTTTGAGAGCTCGTCACCTTCTTCATAATTATTCTCTAGGTTGCGTTTTAAGGACATGTTCTTTCTTTTTATGTCATCCAAGATCCGGTATTACACGGTGATTTCACATCGTTATTTTAATACTATTTACGACATTTCAACAAATTTCAATATCATTACACTTTTGATGACTAACGATCTAAAAAGAACTAAATTTTATGGATTAAAATCACGGATTTGAAATTTACTGGACCAAGAACAAAATCAAAACGGGTCTAAATTTCAAGAATAAAAAATTATACTCCTCCGATCCTTATTATAAGACCCAATTTGACTTTTTATTTGGTCCTAATTATAAGACCCAATCCATTTTCTCTTTTATATTTATGCATTTTTTTCCAAGATAATCCTTCTAATAATGATAGTTTTAGCCAATATACTTAATTAGCAAGGATATTTTAGGAATAACAACACTTATTTATTATAAATAACCAACTTAACTTACTTCCTTAATCTCCTCAAATAAGTCAATTGGGTCTTATAATTAGGACCGGAGGAGTATTAGGTTAAATAGAAGGAAATAAACATTCGGGATTTGCTTTTTTTAAAAAAAAAAATCTTCTACGTCTGTGTGTGTTCGGATAGACAAGATGGCGTTATGATGTAATGTCTTCTTTTTACATAAAATATTGAAATTAATAGTCTTCTTGTGATGGACGAAAGGGATAAGAATGTTGCGGAACATGTTTGATCACCCGTATTGAGATGCCCGGCATCCGACCGGGTGGACCACATTAAATAATTTATTCGTATATTGGATGAAACCAGGCCTAGAGTCGTTTTGAAATACTGATCCAGAGCCAGTTTAGTTTATAAAACGTCTGGTAGCAGAAACTTCAAATATGATGACAACCATTTCACGGGGTGTCACCCGCATCCACAGACATCACCACGTATCCACGTCATCCACTCCTTCTTCCCCAGCTTATATGTTTCATTATTGCTCCATTCGCTTCAAAATATAAGCTAAATTCTATTATAGAAGTCTAGTTTTTTTTATAAGATAATATTTATTTTTGTCTAAGCATTTAATAAATTTTTTTCAATTTTATTCCCATATATTCTCTTTCCTTTTTTTATTTATTTATTACATTTTTTACTTATTCTCTTTATTAATAAGGGCATATCTAAAAAAAACACATGGCTTATATATATTTATTGTTTTAAACTAATTTTAATTATTTTCTTGATAAATGGATAAAGTTTATCTTATATTTTGAATTGGAGGGAGTATTAATTAGGTTTGTTATATTTAGTCCACGAGATAAAATACTTCTCCCTTTTCCTTTATTTGGGGAAATAAATAACACTACCGACTTTTTTTAATATAATACTACATCTGGTATTTAATATAAGAGTTAGTTGATTAATTTGAGTAGATTAATTAATAAAGTTTTTAAAATTAATTATTTGTAATAAATATATATTGTCTTCTTTAAAATACATTTGTTAATCATATGTATGAGCTATAACTATCATTTAATAGAATCTTTAACATGTGCAGCTACTATGAGGACTATTTTGAAAAAAAAAAGATAAATATTATGAACAAAGTAGATTGAGATATTATATTTAGATTCAAATTGAAAGTCAAATCAACTCTTATATTAAAGGCCGAAGGTAGTATTTTTATTGTAAAAGTCATAACAATTATACACCACCCTAATTAAGAAAATAATTCATATATAAGTTATATTAAATTTTGAATAATTTGAACTCAAAAGGCCGTGTTTAATTAAATTAAAAGCACATGATGAAAAGCAAATCACCTTGTCTATGGCTTGCAAACCACTGGCTTTGAATGTGCATATTAAAAATGTCTCGTCTGAGTAATTGACTCTAATGAGATACTCCTCCGGTCCTTATTATAAGACCCAATTTGACTTTTTATTTGGTCCTAATTATAAGACCCAATCCATTTTGTCTCTTATATTTATGCATTTTTTTCCAAGATAATCCTTCTAATAATGATAGTTTTAGCTAATATACTTAATTAGCAAAGATATTTTAGGAATGACAACACTTATTTATTATAAATAACCAACTTAACTTACTTCCTTAATCTCCTCAAATAAGTCAATTGGGTCTTATAATTAGGACCGGAGGAGTATTATTATTGCATCCAACCAAAACAACTCGTCCCATCAAATCATGGTTAGTGAAAGGTACCAGTGGAAAAACATTTAATATTTCGGACATATACCAATATTTAACTCACATCAATAATTAATCTGGATTATAAAAACTCACTACCAAGTGATGACCTGTATTTAATCCATCGGGTTATATTCTTTTTAACTTTTGTTCATTGGTGTACGTGGTGCTTAACTAGTCATGGTCCACCGTGATGTTGAACAAGAAGCACGTAGCAATACCGTCAATAAATATATATATGTATATGTATATATGTATGTATGTACAGACACACACACACACTCTCTTTCACAGTTGAAGAGACGATGCAGGTTTGAAGAGTCGTGCCTTCCTCTGGAATTTCAGAACCATACTGACCCCCGCTTACTCGCAAACAAACAAGAAAAAGGTTAGTTATACATATAAAGCTTTGTTTTATTGGCTGACTTTAAGGTTTTATTTTTGCGTAACATGTATGGGCGCCTTGACTGAATGAAACATGCACCTCCATGTATACATAGCATGCACTTGAACTTTATTTAATCAGGAAACCAAGCCAACCACATATATAAACTATTTGGCGTGCTTGTTCTTCATAAAATAGTCATTTTCAATGTATATATGTTGACTAGGCCTTGCTTGAATAATCTGCTTCTTCCACAAGCGACTCTTTTTTTCCACAAGCACGCGCCCCTCTCAGCACGTTCCATACATGTAACTACGTAAGCATCCGAAACAAGACAGAAGTTAAAGTTGAAGGCGGCCAAATAATAATATAAAAAGAAGACCATATTCATCTAAATTTCTGTAGTTGAAATGAAGGATAACGATGATATGAACTTGTAAAGTACCCAGCTATTCTATTTCTTGAGATCGAAGCCGATCCATCGTCGCTAACTTTTGGGGGAAGAAAACAGAAGAAAAGAAACTTCACTTCTTCTTCTTCTTGTTTTTTTTGGCCAAAAGCAAAAAGGGGGAAAAAATGTTCCTCGCTCTCTCCAGTTTCTATGAGCATGGAAAACAATTAATAGTCAAAGGAACTAGAGACGTTACAAAAATTTCATTTATTTGTATTGAAATTTTCATGACCAGAGGAAATAGTAACGAACCTCTTACAACCTAAGGGAATGCTGAAGGTCTGCAATTCAAGAGAGGGAGTATTCGGCTCGTTTCACCACATATAAATAATTACTTTTGCATATCATGAGCATAGAGCAGAGCGAGCGAGTGAAACTTAGACGTGGGAGGTATTACCTCCGGTTCTAATTATAAGATCTAGTTAACTAATTTGAGGATATTAATAAAATAAGTTAGGTTAGTTATTTGTAGTAAATAGATGTTGTCTTTTTAAAAATATCCTTACTAATTAAGTGTATTAATTAGAACTATTATTGTTAGAGGGACTAATTTAGAAAAATGCATAAATATGATGAACAAAGTGAATTAGGATTTTATATTTAGAATCAAAATAAAAGTCAAACAAAGTCTTAATTAAGGATCGGAGGTAGTATATTATATTAAGGGTATTTTTTTCCGCCAAGTCAAATTCCTCATGTACTACCTCCGGTCCTAATTATATGAGCCAGTTGACTAATTTGAGGAGATTAAAGAAGTAAGTTGAGTTAGTTATTTGTCTTAAATAGATGTTGTCTTTTCTAAAATATCCTTGCTAATCAAATATATTGACTAGAACTATCATTGTTAGAAGGGCTACTTTGGGAAAAAAAAATATAAATATGAGAGACAAAGTGGATTGGGGTCTTATATTTAGGATCAAAATAAAAGTCAAATAAAGTCTTATACTAAGGACCGGAGGTAGTATCTTTTTCTCCCTCACATGGTGTAGCAGTAGAAGAGAGTGATAAAATGTCGCAAATATAATAAATCATGCACGTACATATAAAAAATTTTATTTATGAGGAGTATTTAATTAAGAGGAGAATCATAGATAAACAAACAAAATGAAAAATATGTGAACTCACTCAGTGGAGGAAAGTGGCTCGAAATGCTGGGAGGCAACTAGTTGGCAATTCTCTGATTATTAATTAATAATAATGATATATTTCGTCTTCACTGTTGCTATATAAATATACTTAGTGGCAGGGGCTCTCAACACAAATCCAGCAGCAAGCAAACTCTGATAGATCAAAAATGGACATTGTGGCGAAGATGTGGAGCCAATTGGGCTCAATCACGGCCACCCTCATGTTCCTCTACGCCATGTTTGATAGGTTCCTCCCTCCTCCTCTTCGTCACTACATCAGAATCTACACCGGAAAACTCACCTCCCTCATCTCTCCCTATATCTCCATCAAATTCCCTGAGTTTGAAGGCGAACGTCTCAAGCGCAGCGAAGCTTTCACTGCTATCCAAACCTATCTCAGCGCCCACTCTTCGGAACGAGCCTCCAGGCTGAAAGCCGAAGTCGTCAAGGACAGCCACACCCCTCTGGTTCTTAGCATGGACGACAACGAAGAGATCACCGATGAGTTTCAGGGCGTCAAGCTATGGTGGTTTGCTCATAAACACGACGTCAAGAACCAGTCGTTCTCCTTTTATCCTGCTTCCGACGAGAAGCGTTTCTACATTCTCACCTTCCACAAGCGTCATCGAGAGGTCGTCACTCGTTCTTACGTCAAGCACGTGTTGGACGAAGGGAAGGCCATGGCCACCAGAAACCGGCAACTCAAGCTGTACACCAACAATCCAAGCAGTAACTGGTACGGTTGGAGGGCAACGAAGTGGAGCCATGTCGTTTTTGAGCATCCTGCGAGTTTCGATACTCTTGCGTTGGACCCCAAGATGAAGGAAGACATCTTGAAGGATCTTGTTAAGTTTCAGAAAGGAAAGGCGTACTATGCCAAAATCGGGAAGGCTTGGAAGCGTGGCTATTTACTGTATGGTCCGCCGGGAACAGGTAAGTCTACCATGATCGCCGCCATGGCAAATTTCCTGAACTACGATATCTACGATCTTGAATTGACCGCTGTGAAGGAGAACGCAGAGCTTAGAAAGCTGCTGATCGAAACTTCTAACAAATCGATCGTGGTCATCGAAGACATTGATTGCTCTCTTGACCTTACCGGGCAAAGGAAGAAGAAGAAGAAGAAGAAAGACGAAGAGGAGGAGGGAGCCAAAGACCCTGTTAAGAAGGCCTTAGACGAAGAAGAAAACAAGGAGAGTAAGGTGACTCTCTCAGGACTGTTGAATGTTATAGATGGGATTTGGTCGGCTTGCGGAGGAGAGAGGGTGATCGTGTTCACTACTAATCATGTGGACAAACTTGATGCTGCTCTTATCAGGAAAGGACGCATGGATAAGCACATCGAACTGTCCTACTGTTGCTACGAAGCATTCAGGGTGCTTGCAAGGAATTACTTGGATCTTGAGACCCACCATTTGTTCCCAAGAATTGAGGAACTGTTTCGAGAGACAGAGATGACTCCTGCTGATGTTGCTGAGAATCTAATGCCAAAATCAGAGGAGGAAGACCAGGCGACTTGCCTCGAGAGGTTGATTGAAGCACTCGAAACGGCCAAGAAGAAGGCTGAGGAAGACGCGAAGAAGAAGGCTGAAGAAGAAGCAAAGAAGAAGGCTGAGGAGGAGGAGGAAGGAAAGAAGAAGGCAGAGGAGGAAGTGAAAGAGAAGGCAGAGTTGCCAGAGAAAGAGATGGAAAATAATAAAAAATCTGGCGAAGGGGTGAAAGAAAATGGTTTCCTTTCAGCTGGAAATTAAGGGCAAGACATCAATCATCTTGGCTGCAATTATCTTATTATCTAGGATTGTGAAATCAATGTATTAAATCATTTATGATTTCCTGTGTGCATGAATCCGTTTGGTGCTTTAAGGATTTGCTGTGTGAAATATATGCATCAAACTGGTACGATTTACTGTGTTATATGTAGACCTTGTTAAGAATAATAAATTATTAGCCAGCATATATGCTCACATAAGTCTCTTTTCACTTAATTCCTTGATTAGCTTAGCTTGGATCTCCAAAAATGTTCATGGATTACTCCTCCCAAGCCCGATGGAGGACCCACCGTTTTGAAGTTGGTTATCAGTATGAGGCTGATGGAAACTGAAAAACCATCTGCTTCGTCCAGGTCTTTCATTAATTGGCGAAAATGCTTCTTCCTCTCAGTATTCTTCTCTCTCCCTCCCTCCAGCTCTCAATATCTGGCCACACGACCAATCTTCTGATTTGCCTCTTTTCAAGGTATTTGATTGGTGAAGGATCTCACTCGCGCTCCGTGACGGATTAAGGCGGCAGATTGGAGATATTTTGATCCTAAATATAAGACCCATTTCTCATATTTATTAATTTTCTCTAAATTATCCTCATGGATACTTCCTCAACTATAATCAAGTAGAAGATGGAGATGGGGCATTAAGAAAGATTATTATGATGTTTTAGGAAAAATGTGTCACTTTTTCTATAATTAACTAACTTACCTAACTTTCTTAATCTAATCAAATTAGTTAAATGTGTCTTATATTAAGGATCGGAAGAGTATATGGTATCCTTTATTACAATGTTTATCTTTTACATTAACGATGATCGATTGCTACTCTATAGGGGAAAGTGATGGTAAATTTATAAAACTGTGCGTAAATTTAAATTTTGAATTTTGGTCAATTTTTTCAACTATTACTAATTTATGTCTCTTGGTATTTTTTTTCCGGCCCCTGTTCTTCAAACCTTAAGGGTTAAGGAGCCACCGGCAAGTCAGCGTCGACACTGAGCGGTAAGCTCTCCTTTCACCATCTCTTGCTCTCCACGTTACACGCTTCAATACGTTGTGTTTTGATTCTTTGGACAATTTTTCGAAATCGTACCCCCGAAGAAATAAATTTTTTGAATAAAAAAATATTTTTTTCGTTCAAGTTGAGGTAAAAATGTATTGTTTTGTTAAATTTAATTGTAATTCAAAACCAAAACTTCGACTTACATACGTTATAAAAGTTTTTAACAGTAGATAATTTATATTTATTTTTAAATAGCAAAATATTGAAATTTTTATTTTTCACTCATGATATTATGAAATGGCTTTACAGACAATAAAAATTAAAAAGTTTACTTTTGGAAAATTGGCTGGGTGAGCCTTGAAATTAATTTATTAAAATAAATTAAGCAAAATAATATTGGGGAATTTTGGAAATAAAATGTACCCTGTACTGCAAGTGTTTTTGGGCCTCATGTGTTAACTAAAGATGATGCGCACATGGTCGGTCAGCGATGGCAGGCTAGCTGCCCGCGAAAGGGACCACACAGATGCGAGGGGATTTAGGGGGTGTTTGGAAAACCAAAACCATAGTTTCAGAAACACTTTTCTGCAAAACGAGGTAATCTCCTCCATATATGTATTTCGTAATCCATAAAAGCACTTTTGAAACCATGGTTTGGTTTCTATCTAAACACCCCTTTAAAATTTAAAAACTACTACCAACAGATTAGGTCTAACAGAAAATGTTAGTCTTTTATAACGTGACGAATTAAGATTTAAATCCTCGCTAAGAAAGGTGTCTATATTGAGTGTCCGACAATATCTCGAATAGGATTACCTCCTATAAGAAGATACTTATATTCTAGGAAAAAAAATTAAAAACTACTAGCGGTAGATTACGACGTACGGGGAGTCAATACCATGCAATTGATCACATCATAATCATTCAGAAAAACTATTTTCAATCGCAGGGCAAAGAAATAATAAGTCAGTTGGGCTTCGGTTTGATTGGTTGAGCTTCAACGAAGCATGGCACTCCTCTTATTTTGTTTATAGGATAAAGAAAAAAAAATTATCCCATTCATAAATCATTTAATTAAATTTTTATTATGAATATACTATTTTGTTTTTATTTATTATAATATAGATAGTTATTTTTTTAAAAGTGTACGTAATAAATAAAGGTAAAGTTCAAAATTTGTTATATTTTAATAGAAAGTTAATTCAGTTTAAAGTTTTTTTTTTAGTTTATGTAAAATATGTTGCAAGTATCTTATAAATATAACCAAAGTAATATATTTTACTATAAAATACTTCCCAGTTCTCAACTTCTGATTTCTTCTTTTGTTTTAAATATTAGACTTGAAATTTTATTTTGATATTAAAAGTAAAATTTTAATTTGGTAGAATTGTTATTAAATCCCAAATAGGGAACATATTTACTAAAAAATCCTAAGGATAATAGAATAGCCAATAATGATAAATTTCAAACCTTGCTGGTAATTATTTTGTTTATTGGGACCTTATTGTAATGCTCCCATTTAATTTTTTTACCTCTCTTTCTCATACCAATGCGTAACATTAAATATATCACTATTTGAAGGTAATTTTCTTCATCCCTCATATTTAATACTCCTTTGATCCTTAATATAAGATCCAATTTTTGAGTTGGTTTTGGTCCTAAATATAAGATCAATTTATCATATTTATTAATTTTTTCTAAATTACCATATGGATACTCCCTCAATTATAATCAAGTAGAAGAGGAAGAGGGGTATTAAGAAAGATGATTATGATATTTTAGGAAGAATGTGTCACTTTTCTTATAATTAAGTAACTTTTCTAATTTCCTTAATCTATATATTAAGGACCAGAGGAGTATTTTATTAAATCATTGGTGTTGATTTCACTTTTTTTCCCCTACAATCAATAAGAAGGATTTATTAATATTTTTATTAATAAATCCTTCTTATCAAATATTAATAAATCCTTCCCATTGATTATGCATATTAATAATATTTTTATATTTAAAAGTAGTTTTCATACAAATTACAAGAAGAGATGTTTTAAGGCAATCCCCACTTGTTTCTCAGAAATAATGAAATTAATTAATTTTTAATATTTGTAAATTTGTAATTTAGCTTCTACCTTCATCTATCATAGCGAATACTTCGTCTATTCTTATTTTAATATAAATAATTAAAAAGAGGACATTTAAAAAAAATAACACATTTTTTATATAGCAATAGACAATCAAAACTAATTAATTTATCCTAAATTCAGAGGTTGGGTCGGCTGGTTAGGTAGCATAGTAAATAAATAAATAAATTTAGAACGACCCCAGTAGACCTAGTCACAGAGAGGTCAATGCGTGTGAAAATTCAAGGAAGCCGGGAGTGTTCAGACTCGGAGTAGCCTCCAAGGAAGATAGAGTCCAGTACGGCGTTTTAATGCTTATAAATTAGAGAGATAAATGGCTTCAAAGGCGCATTGTTGAGGATCTGAGTGAAGCGTCCGTCACAACTATTCACAAACAACATTATTTCTTGTTAAACCGAGAGAAAGAGGCCAGACACAGAGAGGACGCAGGAAGATGGAGATGACGACAGTATGGGCTCAATTGGGCTCAGTCACCGCCACCGTCATGTTCCTCTACGCCATGTTTGATAAGTTCTTCCCTCCGCCGCTTCGCGACCATCTTCGATCTTACACCAACAAACTCACCTCCCTTGTCTCTCCCTATGTCCACATCACCTTCCATGAATTTACCGGCGAACGCCTCAAGCGTAGCGAAGCTTTCACCGCCATCCAAACCTATCTCAGCGGCAACTCCTCACAGCGAGCCAATAGGCTCAAAGCCGAAGTCGTCAAGAACAGCCAGACCCCTCTCATGCTCAGCCTCGACGACAACGAAGAGATCACCGATGAGTTTGAAGGGGTTAAGCTATGGTGGGTCTCCAACAAGATCACTCCCAAGTCACAGTCCTTCTCTTTCTACCCTGCTTCAGATGACCGGAGGTTCTTCACTCTCGCTTTTCACCGCCGTCATCGCGATCTCATCACTACTAAGTACCTCAGGCACGTGTTGGATGAAGGTAAGGCCATTGCCTCCAGAAACAGGCAACTCAGGCTTTACACAAACAATCCGAGCAGTGGCTGGCACGGCTACAAGAGCACCAAGTGGAGCCATGTCGTTTTTGAGCACCCTGCAACTTTTGAAACGCTCGCTTTACATCCCAAGAAGAAGGACGAGATTCTAAAGGACCTTGTTAGGTTCCGAAATGCCAAGAACTACTACGCGAAGATCGGCAAGGCATGGAAGCGTGGGTATTTACTCTATGGTCCTCCTGGGACCGGCAAGTCTACGATGATTGCAGCAATGGCTAATTTCTTGAATTACGATATCTATGATGTGGAATTGACGGCGGTGAAGGACAACACGGAGCTCAGGAAGTTATTGATCGAAACGCCCAGTAAATCGATTATGGTTATCGAGGACATTGATTGCTCTCTTGATCTTACCGGGCAAAGGAAGAAGAAGCCAAAAGAAACCAAGGACGACGAGGACGACAAACCCAAAGACCCGATCAAGAAGGAAGAGGAAGAGGAAGAGAAAAAGACAAGTAAGGTGACTCTCTCAGGGTTGTTAAATTTCATCGACGGGATTTGGTCTTCTTGTGGAGGAGAGAGGATCATCGTGTTCACAACCAATTTTGTGGACAAGCTTGATCCTGCTCTTATCAGGAGAGGACGCATGGACAAGCACATCGAATTGTCCTATTGTTGCTTCGAAGCATTCAAGGTGCTTGCATGGAATTACTTGGATATCGAAACCCACGATTTGTTTCCCAGAATTGAGGAATTGCTGAAGGAGACGGAGATGACACCTGCTGATGTAGCTGAGAATCTGATGCCCAAGTCAATGGAGGAAGATGAAAAGAGTTGCTTGCAGAGGTTGATTGAAGCACTTGAAACGGCCAAGCAAGAAGCAGAGAAGAAGGCAGAGGAAGAAGCAAAGAAGAAGGCAGAGGAGGAAGCGAAGAAGAAAGCAGAGGAGGAAGCGAAGGAGAAGGAACAGTGTGGTAAGCAAGAGGAGGGAGGGAATGAGAAATTCGGGGAAGGAGTGACGGACAATGGTTTCCATTGATATTATGCAGGAACCCGAGTTTGCATGATGTACTTCTGTATGCTTCTTTTTTTTTTTTGGTAATACTTCTGTATGCTTTTAGTTATTAGCGGAATAATTAATAATCCTGGATTTTGTGTTGTTCGACTTTAATGTTCATTATATTAATTGCGAAACAAGAATCATCGTTGTTCCTTGTCGCTTCATGAACTAAGACACTTCAGTTCAGTTACAAAGGTTAGACTTGCTTTGTTAGGCTAGACATGTCCCAACTCCTAAGCATTGCTTCATTGAGCAAGCCAGGAAATGGAAAGTACCAGTTCAATTTAGTAATTTTTTTTATATAAAAGAGACGTCATCTAGTGTAGTTAATAATAAGCAAAATGAAAAGACTCAGAGAGAGGACCCAAATTGCAACAACATTACTGAAAAGTATGCTATTTAATAATAATTAAAATGAGCAGATCATTTATTGAAAAATTCATATGCTGAATATTTGTTTATGTTTTTAGGAATAAATATTAAAATTATTTTAAAAATTTACATGTATCCTTCATGTTACATGACTGGAACTTTCTTCTAAAATCCAATTGGTTTTGTCTTTGAAGAAAATATGTTTTTTCTTGAACCACAAAAGTAGAAGTAGGTTTTATTTATAACACACAAATAAAGTCCTGGACAGGGGATCGGGCCTTTTTAATACGAAAATAGGAGCGAAACCTGTGTATTTGCCGGACATTTAAAATTAAGTTATATATTTTTTTCATTTGTAAACAGCGTATATTCCTGCTATTACAATTACAGTAGATTTGATCCAGTTTACATATAAAAGTAAAGGGGGGGCTTACATGGAATTTGATATGAATATTACATACGATTGGTGCGTGTCGCGGAAATTTAATTTGATGAATATACTACCTCCGATCTTTAATATAAGACTCCATTTGATTTTTTGTTTGGTTCTAGTTATAAGACCCCAATCCATTTTTCTTTCATATTTATGCATTTTTTTCCAAAATAGTCCTTCTAATAATGATAGTTCTAGCCAATACACTTAATTAGCAAGGATATTTTAGGAATGACAACACTTATTTATTACAAATAACTAACTTAACTCACTTCCTTAATCTCCTCAAATAAGTCAATTGGGTCTTATAATTAGGACTGGAGGTAGTATTAATAATGATAACGAAAGGCAGGTTCATGAATAGAAAAATAATAGAAAACGGTAGCCGGTAACGCAAGAATCTAAAGACAAGAAATCGGCTATTAAAGATAAAATAAGCATTCAAAAGTAGAAAGAGGGCAGGGAAGGTTGAAATTAATTATTATAAACATAGTTATTCTAATCCATTTGTTTTAATATAATCTATATATAAGCCCTTGCGTCTTCTCAAATACGTTTTCCCAGCCAAGACTTGAAAATAGCGGAATTTCTAATCCGCCTTCTTTCTTGAGTGATGATATTATAGTTTTTTTTACTCCTATAAATCCGTAACCACGGAGGAAGTTTCGGCCTTTGGGTGGAAAGCATAAAAATAAAAATAAACACGTGAGAAGTTTTTATGTGTGGATTTTTATAAAAATATTTTTTCAAGAAACCAAACACGTTATAAATGTTTATAAAGAAGGGGAAAATTGAAGAAGCATATGCGTCATCTATATAACGTCGGCCGCATATGTGAAGACAGCAAAGAAGCCTGTGACAGAAATAAAATAATTTAAAGAACATATAAGGTGATGGGCTTGGGCGATTTTATAAAATTCCCCAGGCATATCTATTTTTGTACGCTGGAAAATTATATGAAATAAGTTGATACAAATAAGTAAAACAAAAATTGTTTATACCACATTTGAGTAAGAGAATTAAATATCGATAAATTTTTCAATTTTTATTTAATTTTGACAGATCTTAACAATTTTAATATTTATAAGTTTAACTTGTAAACGACTTGATTTATAAAATACAAAAAAAAAAATTTGAGTTGTAAAAACAAAATCTTAACTCACCTTTATAAAGCCGTAGTTTCTGCGTGGGGGGTGGGGGCGGGGGACAGCTCAGATCTGCGTGCTATCAGTACAGAGCAAAAGTTGATCAACAAATAGTCAGAGATGGCAGTCTGTGCCGACAAATAAAACGAATTTTCTGAAACTAAAATTTTATTAGAAATAAATTACTTATGAAGTGAAGTTGCTTAAACTTATTTTATCCAGCAAAATCTTTATTCAGGCTATTTCTATTATACTCCTCCTAAGGCTATTCCTATTATACTTTTATCCTTAATATAACGTCTACTCTTCCAGTCCTTAATATAAAACCCATTTAACTAATTTAATTAGATTAAAGAAGTTGGTAAGTTGATTAATTGTAAAAAATGTGACACATTTTTTCTAAAACACCATAATCATCTTTTTTAATACCTCTTATCCCTCTTTTACTTAATTATGGTTGAAGGAATATCTATTATAGGGGTAATTTAGAGAAAATTAATAAATATGATAAATGGGTCTTATATTTAAGATCAAAACTAACACAATAATTAGGTCCTATATTAAGGACCGGAGGAGTATTTAATTAATTTGATTAGATTAAGAAAGTTAGTTAAATTAGTTAATTATAAAAAAATATGACATGGTTTTCTTAAAACACTATAATTATCTTTTTTAATATCCTTCATCCCTCTTCTACTTGATCACGGTTGAGGGAGTATTCATAAGAATAATTTAAAAAAATTGATAAATTTAAAAAAAAATCTTATATTTAGAACTAAAATCAACTTAATAATTATTTCGAATACGATGAGTAATTTTTTTTGGGGCGCAAGAGAGCCCAACTATCCCAATTCTCATCCATTCTCGGCAACAACATAGAAGACACGGAATCGTGACCTCAAAGATTCAAACGTGAGAAGCTCTCAAGGTTGTGGGTTGGACCTTAATTCTAACCTATTGCCCATCCCTCTGGTTCAAAAGGAAAGGTTGGACAGAGACTTGGATTTCTGGCTGAATCTGCAGGAAACCCCAACGAAAATGAACAACCTCTTTGACCTCACTACTGTTTCTATAGATACTGAACCTGATCCGCCTCGTTAATGGCCACCAGGTGAAAGAGACAGGCTCAAAGGACTGAGAGGAGACATTCACATGTGAAGTTGGCCGCTTAAAAGAATTTTTGTTTTGTAGAAGACGACAAACATGTCGACAGATTACAACAGTACACAGTAGTCTTAACTCTTAAGTCTTACCTGGCTAATTCCGACATGAGCTGGCTCTTAACTGTGAAATTTGGGAATGGCCCAGTGATTGAGCCAGGGGGAGCCCGACAACTCGGGAAGCTATGAGAGCGCGTATGCGTACATTAATAAGCTAGGTTGGGTGGAGATGGGCAGATCCTATAAATGGGGACTTTTGTGGCAAAGAACCTCAGTTCTTCATCATAGCAATTCTCATGAAAAGGGCAAACTCAGATATACCAGATCTTTCTTCTACTGGTTTTAAGAAAACTGAGATGATCAACAGAGATTATTTTTTCTTGAATTATAGTGTAGCATAACCAAACTCAATAACCATACAAATGAGAATCAAATAGGACATACCCCAAAGTTATTCAACATTCCTATCCTCGTTTAACGATTCAGCAACGCTTAGACAAAATAAACAATAAAAACACAAGGCCATGATCCCAAAAAGCATCAACTCAAAAGGTAAAAGAAGACCATTAATTGACTTGCATGGATTGTCTATTTTTCTTCCTCGGCCTCCTCCTCGATATTTCTCCTGGAAAAAAAAAGAAAAGAAAAGAGCTTCGTAGGTTTCCCATAGCGCCTTGGCGGCTTTCTAGATTGGTGCTCTCAAAACTTCTTGTTTCCTAACTCATAAATGTTAATCCTAGGTCAAGAATTTGCATCAAGTATAATTTTTGTCCTCTGGCTCAGCAAATACATATAGGCTGGGCTTAGGTTTTGACTTCAAAATACGATCTTTTCGGGGCCCATCGGGCCGCATCACGTACGTCAGCAAAAGTATTTTTGATTTAGATTTGGCCAAAATACATATAGCCCCCTTTAAGTCTAGGTAAGTTGCATAAGACCCCCTCAACCTTAAAAGTTTAAATTCCACACCCTCAACTTTCATATTTTGACCATGAGCCCCTAACTGTTAAAATGGCCGTTAAATCTAACAGAGTGAGTGCCATGCCAGTTTATTAAAAATTATGTGGCAAATGACATGTAATTTTGATTATCTTATTTATTTATTTTGGGTTAAAACTCAGAATTATAATAAAGGGCATTTTGGTGATTTAATCTATAATAATCCGTAGTTTGAGGTTCCCTCTTGTTTTTTTAGTGTCTCGTAATTCCACAACTCGCGAGTTTTCTCTCTTACCAACATTTGATTCATCGTCTAATCATCTTTATCGTTTCAAAAATTATCTTCATCATCACCTTCTTTCTTCTGGAACTTCTTTTTATAATTTTGAACTTGTTTATTTAATGATTGTGTTATCATCTCTTTTGGTCTTCCAAGTCCACCTCCCCATCAGCATCGCTTCCTTCAATTTTCTGATCTTCTTACTCATTCCAGAAATCATCATTATACTTCCTATCTCCATCACATTACTCATTTAAATTCAGAACCTTTATTTTAACAAGTGATATCCAAGGACGCATTAGATATCAATAGCCTTGTGTGAAAGTGAGGCATAGGAGTTACCAGTACGCACTTTTCCTATGGAGGAAGATGATAGAGAAAAAAGCGGGGAGTTTTGGTATCCACACCTATATTAGGATCTTAAATAATTTCACTTCTTTTATTATAGGTTAAATCACCAAAATACCCTTTATTATAATTCTGAGTTTTAATCCAAAATAAATAAGATAATCAATAAATTACATGTCATTTGCCACATAATTCTTAATAAACTGATATGGCACTCAGTACGTTAGATTTAACAGTCATTTTAATAGTAAAGGGCTCATGGTCAAAATATGAAAGTTGAGGGTGTGGAATTTAAACTTTTAAAGTTGAGGGGGTCTTATACAACTCACCTAGAGTTGAAGGAAGTTGTGTATTTTGGCCTTTAGATTTTTATTAAGAAGCTAGGTTTCAATCCGGTGGTCAAATGAAATTGTCGCCGTCAATCTTTTATATGTCTTTCGCTTTCAGAATTTAATTTATTTTCATTCGGTTCAAGAATTTGGAATAATGTTCATGCATGTTAGGCCCCTCTTTCCCTCTACATGCGCCACATAGATGGAAATTTGGTTAACGTAATCACGCTTTTAGATTAACATAAACAACTACGCATAGAATTAATCAATAGTTATATGTAGCTGTTAATAAAACATATAATATCAATTTCTCTTTTATGGCTTTGGTCTAAGGTCAATGGACGGCTAAACCACAACAAAAACCTCAGCATCAACTATTGTAGAATTACTCAGTCTTGACAAGTGGAGTCTTCTGAAATCATGAGTAGAATAATAAAAAACTGCCGGCAAAATAATATAACATTTAACACAAGGATATTGTATCTTTGGAACAGTTATCGTCACTAACCTTAGGACCAACGAGACGTAATCATGTTAGACTCTATTATGCTGAAGATTGGCTGCCTCCTAAATCAGCACTTATCTAGGGCCCCTTTTGATATCAGCGGGCAACATGAGAAATACATTTTCAGAGAGTTAGGTTAAGATGAGGCCATAAAGATAACTATAGAAACAGGAGCCTGTAGCTCAGTAAAGTCGGTTTTAGTATAATAATATATTGGGTTAAAATACAATTTTAATAACAAAATTTATCCCAAAACACATTAGGTACCACAAAGTTCATCTATTTTTCTCTCATCGTAATCAAAACACACACACGCACTCGCTCCCTCTCGCTCTTCATTATTTTCTCAATCTCCAGATCTTTTATATGTATTTACACAAGACAATATGATTGATTGCTTGCACTCAAACACTACCTTCAGTTCTTAATATAAAATGCAATTAACGATACTTCCGAATCCTTAGATACGAGAAAAAGCAAGCATACAAGAGCATCTATTGAAAAGCATAAGCTTTATAGAAGTATATGATTCAATTTCATTTAATTTCGTCTCCCTACATGTTTCATCCACTCCTCTTCCACTCTCCCTCTTCTATTTTCCCCTTTTATGTACAATCAACATCAAGTTCGCCACCATGGGCAATCTAATTTGACCGGATTTGTCTCTCTTCTCATTATCAAAGATGATAGGCCTACTCCCAATACCTCTTTTCCAACCAAGAGGAAACTAAGCACATTTACAAGTTAAACGTTAAGGCTACTGGGAGGAAAATAAAATAAAGAGGGCTCCTGTTGATTATTGTCATTTGCACTGCCTTGGTCGAAATTTTTCATTTGACAACAATGAGGTGATTAAAGCTTCCAGCCTTCTTGAGCCAGGGCTAGGCTTTAGGACAGTAGTATCACCGACAACAGAGCAGGGATCAGTTCCATTATCCCTCCTCCCTATGCACCAGCCGCCCGGAACAACCATGCCTGGACCTCTTGATAATAGGTCAGCATCAACTTTGTCCAACACTGGATCGTCTCTGTGGAACTTCCTCGCAAAAGGAGCACTGCTATCAACCATCCTTTGCATGTCTTTAAGATTAAGGTAGTGAGGATGTTGCTTGGGAGGATTGTCCCAAGAAATAAAGTGGAGATCACTGTTCACGGTTGTGTTCTTGAACTCTGCAGCATTACAAATGACAGTGTGGAAGTATCCTTCAGGGGAAGATATGAAATTTGTGTAGTACATGAGAACAGTCCGAGGTAAGTTGTCCCATCCCCATATGCAGTAATCAACGAAAGATCTTGAGAGTGCCATCCATGCCGAACCTACAGAGAGAGGGAACTTAAGAATCAGCTCAAAAGAAGACATAAATCCTCTTGCATAAACTTTCAAAACTTAGTTTTCCCTCAGCAAGTTGAAAATTTAGATGCCAGCATTATCAGCACCTATTCTGTCCTATATTAGACCATACAAGGTCAAGAATAGACCCATGTTGGAAACATGCAGGACAATGAATGCTACATTAATACCTACACCAGGTCCAAGAACATTATTTGGTTAAGTGCTTTCAGATTTTATAGTATCAGTGTCAATCATTTACATGCCACAGTTTAAATGTGTTATCCTCAACCTAGTTCAAGAGCTACAGCTGCAGTGCCAACTCTTTTATGCTAATCACTGGACATGGGAACAAGCATTCTTCAGGCAGATGAGAACCACAGTAAATAAAAATCTTGAAACAGTTATGAGAAACTGAAAGAGCGTCACTAGAAGTCTAGGCTACATTGACAAAAATAAGGTGGTAGACCATTAAAAAAATGACAAGTGGTACAGATATTTTTGAAAAAAAATTGATCTGAAGCGGAACAAATATAATCATGCCATACTTATGCGCCCAGTCTACAAGCCCACAACATGATCAGAGTCATATCAGCACTCAAGGGAGACGTATAACCGTGTGATTTTAAGCTACCAAGAGTTCAATCCATGTGATAATATTAAATGATAATGGAATCATTAAGCAACCAGAAGCGAATTATGTTTTGCATATTTAATGCAAATCTAGAGCTGGTATGTACTAATGATCTGTCCAGGGTAATTTATTGTCATGCCCAATTAATACAATTACCACAATTAATTGAACAGCTCCTAGTGAGGAAGCCTGCAAAAGTCATTTAAGCTGCAATGTAACTAGAGAGGAGAAGAACTCAAATTGAACATCTATTTTGAAAGGACGCAGAGGAACAAACTTTGATTAGAGGAAAGCACAACAAAGTACAGATTAGGCACTCTCAAGATTAATAAAGATCCTGAAACATTACCAAATCTCAAATCGGGACAGATCACGTTCTATGACCTCAACTCTCTGTAAATAGTTTACAGATACTGTGCATCCTATAGGTATTCGCATTTCAACTAGAGTAGTCAAAGCTTTTCAGTTAATTCTAAGGCTTCAATTAAGAAGCCAATACTACCAGAATCGACCTCTACAAATAAAACTCTCAGCCTCAATATTCAATCAAGGTAGAATTATCTTTCACGCCACAGCCCACTGGGAGCGTACAGTTGACGCACTCTTCCAAGCATTCTGAACTCAAATGAACCGATGATAACATGAAACAAATATATGATTGAGTTTGATTCTAACCCTTCTTGTATAATTGGATCGCTAATTATTCAAAGAAAACTTCTTAGATATGGAGCATCCCGGGAAAGCTAGAACACGACTAAGCAGCACTGGAATTAGGCAGATACATAAAAAGAAGAGGACCGGAATTTAAAGGCTATGAACAGACAAGCAAATGATCTCACCTGTGAACAGTTTGAAGGCAGTTGGCCTACTCCTCCGCTGTGTAACCCAGAACACATCTTCTTTCTTATTCATGTACAAGCCTGGATCAATGATTATTGGTCTGGCCCTCTGATGACTAAGTCGCAAAGAACCAATCAGATAATCTTCCTCACGAAAATAGAAGAATACAACAAGGGATGAAGATCACTTACTCTTTCCATCCAATGTTACTGGTATGATCAATGAAATTCAGATCACGAGGCAAGTAGGAAAAGGCATGCAGCAGATCTAGTTAAGTAAAATCCACAGACCAGTTAGTCAGGGCAAAAAAAATCGTGCCAAAAATTTATCTCACGATGCAGTGTCAAAACAACTAACCATCTTGGGTAACAAGCGGGTAATCTGAAGCACTTAGATTTATGAACCAATCCCAATCACCTCCATTCTTCAACAAGATGGCCGCCGCGTGAAGGGTGTTTGAAACCATCGTGGGGCCTCGATATGTGACCAGATTGGCCTTTGTAATCATGTCCACATTCCCAAACTTCTGGAAGAGAGGATGATCTTTGACGAACTTATGCAGATCCAAACGCTCCTCCGCCGAAGATTCACGGTCCAAGTGAACGAGATAACGATTGTGGGGATGGTAGAGTGCTAAAAGTGTGCGCTTGAGCGCGTTGCCATCACCATTGGAACCAGATATGAAATAAGCGAGACGCGGTGGTGGAGGAAGAGACGAAACAGGTATTGGATGCAGCTTGGATTCCACAAAAACCGAGTTGGAAGCGGTCAGAGAACGGTAAAAGGGAAGGAGATGCGTGCCAGCGGGAGAGGTGAGAGTCGCAAGGCAGAGAACAAAGAGAAAGAGTACAGACCCAATGACGAAAGGGAAAATCCACCTGCGCTCGAATGCGTGGTGGTGCCTGAGATGCATGTAATAGCTCTTTAATTTCTTCATGTTCGGAGGGAATGAAGAAGAAAGAATATATATTAGGGAGGAACAGAGATTTAAGCGAAGCTGAAATCGGGGAAGACAAAAGAGGAAAACAAGTTGCAGCTAGCTAGAACTGATAAATAAACGATGACCGTACAAAAACAAGAACAACGACATCAATGAAGTCTGTTTACCTCCTCTTCATCTCTTGCTCCATCGACCTGCGTCCCTCTCACTCTCTGTCATCTAACCCTCACCCCTCGTAAATGGGCGACCACTCCGGTTCAGAACTCCAGGTTAAATGCACTCAGCTATTTATGGGCAGCCCAGTTTCCTTAATTTTTCATCATCATCTCTAATCCCTATTTGATCTAATTATTAAATGCCTGTCCTGACAATCTATCAACAAATCGTGAATCTGCTAGTCCAAAAAAAAAAAACAAACAAACAAACAAAGCAAAACAAAGCGTGAATCTGGCAAAAAAATAAAAAATCAGCAAATCGTGAAGTTTTTTATGAAAAGATTTCTTTCTTAGCTTTGTAGTTCTAGAAGGGCCATATTCTCTGAACAATATATCTCGGGACATTTAACATTTTTTTGGGAAAAAAAAAACTACTGTATTAAAAAAGTAATGGAATTCAATTAGGTTCCAAAAATGAGTTGACGCAATGGAACTGGCTTTCAAGATTAGCATTGACGTGGTTGTAAAAAAATGACAAGAAAGATAAGAATAACATGTCAAGAAAACGATGATGATCCTTTTAGCACTTAAATTAAGTTCGCTAATTTTCAATGTACCAATAAGTAAACCATTTTCGGTCAAAAATAAATATTAAAACCCATGGATTTGGGGGGGGGGGGGGAAGCAACTGTGGCTAGCGAATGGATGGGTCGCGGGTCATGGGTGCCTCTCCCAATTCCGGGATTATTTTTAAATATTCATAAATTTCATAGCTCCTTATCTTTCGCAGTTCCATTTCAGGCATCATTACGGATGTTTTTGCAATAAAATAGAAATGTTTTTATCTCGCATCATATGTGTTAAATCTAAGATATGCAATATGAACAAAGCAATATGAACAAAGTTATACTTAGTAGATATTCGATTCTAATTATAAGAGCCAGTTGACTAATTTGAGGTTATTAAGGAAATGTGTTAAGTTAGTTATTTGTAATAAATAGATATTGTCTTTCCTAAAATATTTTTGCTAATCAAGTGTGTTGGCTAGAGTTACATTATTAGAAGGACTACTTTGAAAAAAAATACATAAATATTAGAGACAAAATGGATTGAGATTTTATATTTAGAACCAAAATAAAAATCAAATAATGTTTTATATTAAAGAACCAGGTAGTATATTACATTTGATTGTTGGCAAAAAAAAAAAAAGGAAAAACCATATTGAAGGTACCTATACTTTCTCTCAATTTTTAATTTGGTACCTATGTGTTTTTTTCCTTTAATTAAACATTTAATTTTATCTTTTTAGCAACATTAGTTCTTATAACTTTATTCTATTGATATTTTTAGTCTCTACATGAGGATTAATGATGTTAATAGGGGGAAAATAAAGCTTTAGTTAAGAACAAAAAACACATAGGTACCAAATTGAAAATTAAAAAAAAATATAGGTACCTCCAATATAGTTTTCCCCAAAAAAAAAAAAATCCATTGCTCTATTGAACGCGATCGTTCACTGAGAATTATTAAAAAGCCTACTAGATACACTAATGATGATTTGGTTGCTTATGTACTTTTAGTCGCACAAGGTATATTTCTAAAGGTGTTGAGCCTTCTAGTCATTTGGGAACTATTTCTTATGCCGGTTCACCTAAATGGCTAATAGCAATCCATGAAGAGATTGGAAGTATCCATAAAAATGGTAATTGGGATCTACGTGAGCTTCCTAAAAACAAGCAAGCTTTAGACTGCAAATGGGCATCCAAAAAGAAAGAGGATACCAACAAATGAACGAAAAATAGTGGAAGGGTATCATATGTTAACTCAAAGCCTTTAAGGTTTAAGATTATGAGTTATTCTGCTTTATTACATTACTCATTTAAATTCAATTTGATCCTGTGTAGGACTTTTCATATCAAAACTCAAAGTTACTCGCATAAAAGAGGTCATGTTTCTTTAAAACAATTAGCTTGTGGCCCCGTGCAACGTAGGGAAAGCATTCATTTCCAATCTAATACTTAATTATGTCAAATATTAAATATCAGAGGAAATATATTAAAACGAGAGAGATAAAGAAAGAGAGTGTTATGTTTAAGGAGGGACGAAATAAAATAAATTTTCCTTAATATCCTCTTCGACCCTTTTTAAAATCGAGACACCCATGACTCGGTATTATTTTTCTTCTCATCCTTTTTTTAATTGGGAACTTTGATTAAATTTATGCCTTTTTCTCTTATCTTTATTTCACACTCTCGTATCACATCACGCATGTCTTCCAGTGTGATGCATGGGGAGCTTGTAAATATGAGGTTATTTTATCTTAATATTTTGTTAGAACTTGATTTATTATTAACTACTTATTATTATTGTTTGTAACCAGTTAATAATACTAATAATTGTTGGCAAAAAATAATTAATTAATAATCTAATTCCTAAAATTATCCCCATTCAAATTATGATAATATCTAGAGAGCATGCGTAATATCAAATGTTTATAAAATAAAAAATCATGGAATGTTTTTAGATTTACATGTAAAATCTTAATGAAATTCTAGTTGTAGGTCCGAAAATTCTCAGCTTGTTATGTTAAAATTTAGTATAGATATATTTATTATACCTTGAACTAAAAGTTATATTCATCAAAATATAAACATAAACTCTAACCAAATTTATTTAACTACCAGTTACATTAATCATACTATTTAGATTATCGCCATGCTAATCTATCACACCACAACTTTAATTCCTTTCTAATTTTCGTGGGACAACATGCTTACACTTTAAGTTTTTTATTGATTTGCCCAAGATAATTGGGATTTATCACGTTCACATAACAAAGTAATACAATTAATTGGAAATAGGTAAAACTATGCAATATTTGGAGTAATAACTACGACGAGTTAATGAGTATCCATTTCCTCTAAGAGAGAGGAAATGACAGCAACCAGATAAAGGGTGTGTTTGGCAAATAGCTAAAATTATGGTTTTGGATTCAAAACTATAGTTTCAGAAAAAATAAATATATTTTGCTTTTGGTTCAAATTAAAAAGTATGATTGTGCCTGTCAGAGTAGATCCCAGTAGTAATATGACTTTAACACCCATCAATTATTTTTTTATAAATGTATTTAATCTTATAATTTATAAATATATATACACATATTAATTATTTATTAATTATGTTATCTTATATATTATTAATTATGTTGGTAAAAAATATATTATTAATAATTTTTTTTCAAATTAAAATATATTATAAAATATATCTTTTATGTAATTATTATATTAATTTATACTCTTTTTAGTAATATGCACATATAAAAAGTACTTCTGATAACAACTATCTAAGCACTCTCACTTTATCAGAATCACTTTTTTATAAAATTTATTTTTCAGAAACTATTCTGTAAACTATGATTTGATTTTATTTAAATATCTCTAAAGAAAAGATTACTTTTTGTTTTATTGACCTAAAAAGAGTAAACATGAAAAAGTCCTTTCAGTTTGCAGCGCCATCAACTTTTGCCCTGTTTTGACATCGGACTTCCTGAAATAGGGGTTAATAATGAATTGACATTGATTGAATTACACCTCCCATGGCTAACCTACCAATCTACCATTCCCGCGCAAATATCTAACAATCCACTGTATCTATTTAGGAGGAATTCTTGTATGCTCCGGGAGCACCACATCATTTGTGCTCTGACTAATAAAAACGTGCCACCTCATTAAATGTAATCTGAGATGTAAGCTTATCTGTCAGCCTTTATTTAATTTCACAACTTTGCTTTTAGAAACTCCCGCCCATTTTTTTTACTCGCTCCTCTCTCAGAATCCGTCATCTCTGGCTTCTGCTTTCATAAACTCAGATTTCTCTATCTACCTCTCTAAGCAGGAAGCTCAGAAACAATGTCAATAACAGTCAAGTCTCTCTGATGTTCCCAACAACTGGAAAGATGAGAGGATCTGCTTTTGAAAACCCAGAACCTTCTTTGCTGAAAGTAATTTGCACTAGGCAAGTATGAGTGAAGACAAAGAAACAGGGGAAGAAGATGAGGGCAAAATCGAAGATAAGAGGAGAAGCAAGCATTCAAAAAACAGAGCAAGGATTTTCAAATCTTCAAAATCAGGGCTGGGTTTAACTATTTCTGTCATTGCAGGTCGTCTTCTCGTGACAGAGAGAACAACAAGGAAGTAACGATGGGGAAAGGAGGGATTTGGTGGACAGAGTAGGCAGGTTTCTTGTGGGCCCGCATTTGTAAAATGGTTGAGGGCTTTGCAATAAAGGGAAGCTTAAAGGGGAGAGATTGAGTTGGTGGTGGATGATGAAGAAAATGAAGAGATGATAGGCTAGAGAGAAGTAGAAGAAGACTTGTGTTTGAGGATACTGAGATTGATACAGATAAGAAGAATGAGGAGGAAGAAGAGACAAGGTGAGGATGAGCATATGTACTTCTCTTTTGTTGATAAGGTGCAGATCTGATCCTGTGAAAATGGCATCCAAGAGAAGAAAAAGTTAACAAGGAGAGAGAGTATGTGAAAAATGATGGAGCCGGAGATGACGGACTATGAGAGAGGAGAGAGTGAAAAAAATGGGCGGGATTTCTAAAAAGAAAGTTGCTAAATCGAATAAAGGATGACAGATAAGCTTACATCTTAGATTAAATTTGGTGAGGTGGCACGTTTTTATTGCTCAGAGCACAAATGATGTGCTGCTCTGGGAGCATGCAAGAATTCCTCATCTATTTAGACTTGTCTTCCTCGCGAAACTAGAGGAAAATAGAAACAAATAACTGCCTGGTAACTACGTCCCAACTCCCACGTATATACTGTCTAAGTTTTAATACTCCTCCGGACTTAAATATAATATCTTTATATATTAGTATAAAAATTTTATATTTAAAAATAAAAGAGTACTATTTATATTTAATATAAAGTTCCGTTGACTGACTTGAAAAAATTAAAATAAATAAATAATAGTATTTGTAGTTATTGTTTTTTCTATAAATTAATTTGTCTGGTTTATAAAATAATATATAATGTAATGATATATATAAATATTTTAGACAAATTATATAATATAGGTTATAATTAAGTAATTTTTTTTTTACTTTCTCATATTAATTAACTGTGTCTCACATTAAAAACTGAAGGTACTTTTTTTTCCCCTTTAACATCAGTACAATTTAAACCCACCTTCATCTTGTCTGGTGTCTTGCTCTCACCCGTTTCTAGTTACCTAAACTGACTTTAATAAGGAACTAATTTTATTTTAATACTCCACTCACCCCTAAAATAATACATAATTTTGTTAGTTGTTGTTTGCCTATATAGTATGTAGCTCAGAATTTTATGATGTTTTTTAAACAATATTTTAAAAAATGCCACTATTTAACTAGTGACGGATTTTTAAAAAATACGCATTATTATTCAGAAACAAACAAGCCTTTTGATTTATATAATATTGACAGCCATATATCATGTTTGTAGAAGGTGAAATATCTTGAATAATTTTTGAAGGTGTACGAGCAAATCCATGTGCTTCAAACGAGGATGGGGCAAGAGTGATAATAAATTAATACTCCTCTTATCCTTAATATAAAACCCATTTAACTAATTTGATTAGATTAAGGAAGTTAGGTAAGTTAGTTAATTATAAGAAATGTGACACATTTTTTCTAAAATACCATAATCATCTTTCTTAATATCCCATCTTCCTCTTCTACTTAATTATGGTCGATGGAGTATTTATAGGGGTAATTTAGAGAAAATTGATAAATATAACAAATGGGTCCTTATATTTAGGACTAAAACCAACTCAACAATTGGGTCCTATATTAAGGACCGGAGGAGTAGCATATAAAAAAAAAATAACTTTTCCCAATTTCTCTTATATATTTATTTCATAGAGTACAAAATTACTCAAAATAAGTTAAGTTTGACAACAACAAAAATCAAGAGACCAATCCCTCAAATACTATCCTTAATCCTCCTACAAATGTCATCAACTCACCGAAGCCCTTGGGTAAATGTCTGTGCCAACATCCAAAACAGATTCTCAGACCAAAACCAAAAAAAAAAAAATCCAAACAGATTCCAACTGAAGTCCTTCTTCTTCTCTTCACATTTGACTCCAACAGGCTAATAGTCGACAGAATATGAAAGTAATGCCAACATTGAAACCTGGGACGGATCTAAAAGGTAATCATCCATATGGGGACAAAATGGGAACCTACGTGGAAAAAAGGGATTAATTTTTTAAAAGAAAATTTTGTAATTCAGGGTACATTAATTGGGGTGCTTAATTTCATATCATCACTATATTCGACTACAGTAAACGGAAGTGTCGGGCGAAGATGTTTGTTAGGTGAGTCTATGTATGTGCTCCGATAGTTAATTAATCAGGGATCAAGTTTAATACCAATAATTAGGCAATATTCAAGGCAGGGATTTCGTTAAAACACAGTCATTGAACGTTGACTCCACATTATTATGGCTTTCGGGTCAAATGTACAAAAGTAAGGAACAAATTAATTAGGCTCAATACCCCACTAATTCAGCTGTGTGCATGTGATTTGTAACTTCAAATGTGCTGGCCCTTCATTATAATTTTATAATTTTCATTGTTAATCGTCACCTCTACGTCAATTATTGAGCTTGAGACGATACAGCGGACCACTCTTTAATTATTGCTTACGATACGTGAGGAAGCTAGGGTGTTGGTTTTAATTAAAGACCTCTCGGCAGTTATTTGCAGTCTCCATCCACTGTACAAATACACAAAGTGCTTTTCGCTACACGTGTCCACGTGTACCGCCACATCACGGTAATGGGATTCAGGGTGGCTTCTTAATAAGGCCCAATTTATATATATCAATATTATTTCCCTGCCAATGATTCTCTGAGGCCTTGTGAATCACCAGCAAGTTCCGAATAGGTTAGTGGGCTCACGCGTGGGCCTAACACCAGCGATGCGGAGGGTGCTCATAATGTCAGTGAACAAATTGTTCCATACCAATGAAAATTTGGTCCAATAAAAAAAACTAATCTTTTACAATATGACAAATGACTTGAATCTCTACTGAGAGAGATACTTATATTTGGAGTCTGATAGTATTTTAAATAGGATTAAAAAATATTGAGAACAGTGGAAGGCCCACACAAAAGTATGACACAAGTACTAATATGTGCTCTTTGAGTTTGGAAACATACACTAATATTAGTGAGCTCCCGAAATTCAATTCATCTAAACTTTTTGATTAAAAAAAATGTATGACAAATATAAATCTATTCAGGACTTTAAAGGAGAGTTCTTATCAGGAAACTTTTTAAATTAAATAAAATAAGATATCACTAGTTGATCAAGATTCAGTGTGATAGATATAGTCCTTGCAACACATGACAAAGTATCTAGTTTGATACACTGCATTCAGTTTGATAATATATAAATTAATGCAATATTACTCCGTCTTTTATTATAAGATCCTTTTAATTAAATTGCACAGTTTAAGAAAACAGTTAAAATCAGTTAAAAGCAATTAATATATAGCAAATGCAGTTTTTTTCCAAATACACCCCTACATATAACTAGATAAATGTGAGAGAGTAATAGTAAGATAAATAAAAAAAGAGAATATATTAAATATATTAAATCAGGGATAAAATAAGTAACACTGTATTAAATGCTCAAACAAATTCAAATAGGATTTTATAAAAAGGGACAAATCTATTCAAAAAATTAGATCTTATAATAAGGAACGGAGGGAGTATCTTACTAATTTATTGCTTATTTAATATAATTAATGTATTGTAGCAGCTTATACATTAAATGACGTATAAGTGTATAACCGTTGGCAAAAAGGAAAAAAAACGAGACGCATAACAAAAATGAGATTAGGCACTGGAATCACTCAGTGCGAAAAAAGAGAAGGAAGATATTGGAATCATTCGCATTTTGATATACAAATCTTACCTATAATGTGCATATTTGAATTCTACTCACAAGGATGCCTTCAACATTATAGAACACCTTCGGAGATCCTTATAAATGATCTACCAATAAGGTCCTCACAATAACAACAAAAACCTTTAGGAAAGCCCCTCTGCCATGCTTGCTTTTATTCTCATTCTCATTTTATTCCTGCTACGTTGGCTTGGATGATTTTTTTTTTTTGGGATGAAATGGTTGGATGAAAATGCACGGCCTTTAATTTGGATATATTGATTCCTATCACGACGAAAGAATAATTAAAATAAAATAACGTCGCTTAAGGTTACATCTTCTTTGAATTTTTGATCGAATTGACACACAAAACATAAAATAAAATAACAACAAGTATCTTAATTAAACTAAAAAGACTATAGATATAAATTCGTTTGAATGTTTCAAAACCTCAAAATGATAGTACCATGCTGTCATCTTATTGATATAGAAAAAAATAATTGTTGCCTTACATCCTCCAGAGGTGCAGGTCAAGCTCAAGCAATGTTTCATGTTTGGAAGATGAAATATGCAGTCATGGTGAGCTGATGCAATGAAAAAAATAAAACAAAGTGATGATAAGAGATTCATGATATGTCTGGGTACACTTGACTCATATCAAAACCCAAAAACACTATAAATGTAACTACATAGTGATCAATCTGTGAACATATCTCTGAATCTACGAGTACGTGAATAAGTGATTAATTAAAAATCAATACAATTCATCGTACCACGCCTTACTCTGACGACACCAATAATCTTGTTATCATCCTTTTACACTCGTCAAACCCAAGTATGCTGCTGCACTTTTGAGTTCATTCCTCGAACCACGCTCAATATGACACTTCCCTTCTCTCAATGATGGCTCCTTACTGTTCAATAACATTAATATATATTTAACAACATTCACATACGTGTCTTTACGGGCATGAAGGAACAAAATTAAAAAAAGAGATAGCAGTTACTCACCTTGACTCACATAGATCTTCTTCCCTGTATTCGATAAACAGTTGTTTGTCATCAGCCATTACATTATAAGGATTAAGATCACCATATTCAACTGTGTCCATTTCTGATTGATTAACTATAAAATTTGAGGACTGCGCGGCCATGGAACTGAAGGATTGTTGAAGACCAAAGACTTCATTTCCACCGCCACCGTCATCAAACATAACAATTTGATTGTTATTGTTGTTATATTGCAAGTGGTTCGACACTGACAACGTATCTGTACCAGCAGGCATACATTCCAATGGCGTAGAAGGAGAAATTTGATAATGAAATTGTTCTTTGTAAACGGCAAGTCTCGTTTTCAAATAACGTAGTTCCTCCATGGCGGCGAGTATCTGATCATTATAGCTCCATATGACTCCTAAACAGCCCAGAACCGGAAACTGTTCTCGCATATCAGATTCAAAGATAATAGATTTCATGGCTTCGTCCCTCTGTCTTGGCTCTACCAGTTCCAGGATTTTCTTGATGTTGGCGACTCCAAACAAACGGTGAGCATTGCTGAATTTTTTAGGTTGATCTGAAGGGAAATAAGGAGCCAGAGGGCACTCTTTTGAGCATCTTCTTCTCTGAAACTTGCACGCAGCGCAGGCCTTGTTTGAGCCTCCCTTAATTGTCATCATAAGCCAGATAATAATACATAGCCACCCGTCAAAGATCAGATTCTGAAAGATTTTCAAGTATGGAACTGATACCATTCAGCAACACTGAATCTGATGCAACTGGGAGCTCTGCTCCAGTATGTTCTAATTGGGATCCACGACTAAGTAAAACATTATACCTATTCAAAAGGAGACTTTTTTAAAAATTTTTATTGAAGAAAATAATTTTCAGGAATTAATATCCCATAATATATCAGAATAAAATTTTACTTTACTGTATATTTATTTTTCATTCTTCTTCTTTTATTTAGAAAATCATTTTGATTGTGACCCATTCAATTGTGCAAATATTTGTATTATATATGAATATTACGGATATGACGTTTTATAAATATGTGAATAAGGAGCACTAATTTTTATATGAATTTATATTTTATCCTGATATTTTTTTCAATTGCATGAAATTCAAAATCAATTTTATATTGAATTCAATAAAACCAAATAAATTAATTTAGATATAATTTTATTGATTGTTATTAATTTAGAATGTTAGTTGTAACAAATTTAGGATGCTGTTTTTAATATCTGAAAAGATTTTTTATAGATATAATGAAAGATGGTTGATATTTACAAATCTAATATTGCTGATTTTATTCCAGTAACTTCCTAATACACGTATTACTAATTGCCACTTTTCTAATTTAAAAGTTTAACACTAAATCTTATTTCATATATATATATAAAATAATTATGTGTATTTATTTACAATTGAATGTATCTGAAATGCAGATGTATTTTTTTTTTTTTGATAATAATGGGGTACACCTTACAGAGTAGCTACATGCCTACTACGATTACGATCAGCATTGAGAGTGTGCAGCAGCTCGTTTGGTGCTGAACCAATGTAATGGAATCCTCTCGGAAACCCAAGTCCCTTCTCAGCCAAAAGATCTGCGGCCTTATTAGCCCCTCTGCTCACGAGGGCTGTTTGAACCTCCCAGTCTCTACCTAAAAGCTGGCGTATTTCTTTAATAATTAAATAATCTGCATGTAGCTCGTCAGGTTCATTACGTATCAGCTCTACAGCTTCACTTGCATCTGACTCTAAGATCACTCTTCGATGACCGACGTCCCATCCTAGCTTCAATCCATGTTAGTTTTGTGAGTAGTTACTACTTTTTTTTTTGTGGCCAAATAGTAGTTACTACTTACTTGAAGGCAAATAGACAGTCAATAAAGACTTCCATACACGTAATTAGAGAGAGTTTATTCAAGGGTGGGGTTTAAGATGAATTTTTTACTTTCTCTGCGCTGTGAGTTTTGAAATATTTAATATTTTTTTACAAACGTGGGAACTGAACTTTTTTTTTTTTGCTAGAAAAAGAAGTGAAAACATTTTAAAAAATTCATTAATTAAAAAAGAAAAAATTAATCTGGAGGTCCTCATAGTTTCACTCAGTTTTGGATTAGGTCCTTGAATTTTTTTTTCTTTTTTATTGGGTCCTTTAACTTTTTAATGTTATATTTATTAATCCTTCTATTAAATAAAATAAATACCGTTAGAAATATGCAATTAACGGCTAAAACATTCATCTCCTTTTCTCTCTTTCGGCCATAACCTAGACCATGCTCTCATCCCTCTTTTGCTCATTCCTCGACACATTTCTCTTCTTTGTTATTCTCCTGACATCACCATTCCTTCTCACCTCTTCATAACACCTTCCTCAAGGCACCATAAAAATAAAGTACTCTTCTAGTCATAAATATAATACTCTTATATCGGTATTAAATACGAGACTCTTATACTAGTTATGTTTAGGACTGAAAGAGTACTATATATAATGGTAGGTAGGGAGAATGGTGGGAAATAAAAAGATGCTAATGGGACATGGTTTGGGAGAGCAAAAGAGAAGAATGTTTCAGGCATCAGCTGCAGAATGGTGTTTATTTTATTTAATAAAAAGACTGATAAATATAACATCAAAGAGTTAAACGACTTGATAAGAAGAAGAAAAAAAAAGCTCAATGATTTAATTTAAAATTGGGTGAAACTATAAGGATCTCGAGATTAACTTTTCTATTAAAAAAAATGAAAGAGTGATTTATATATGTTTAATATAATGATGATGATCGGATCGTGGATTCATTTTATATTTATAGTAATTAAAACTTTAAAAGTTAAAATGGTTAGTTTCCGTCAAAACTGATCGATAAATTCTGTTAGTCTGGTGCACCAGAAATGAATGACGTGTTGTGGAAGAAGTTATGCGGTTATGTCGTGGGCTTCTAGATCATGGCACTTCTTTCTCGCCAGTCGACACGACTTGCTTTTGCTCTTGGTATTTTTCGCATTGCATTTAGTTTGCTGGAGGATAGAGTTCTCTAAACTATAACTTCATTTATTAAGAAATTCAACTAAAAATAATCTTTCTTAGCCGAAAAGATACTTCGAATAAAAATAAAAATGAAAAGAATATCTATTAGATCTCTATTGCTGAAATTTCAACTTTAGTCCTATTGAAGGGGAGTTAAAGAGACGATGAGCGAGATTCAGAGAGGATGAAGCCAGGTAAGAATAGACAGATACTAAATGTAAACACATATTCCTCTAATCCTATTTATAAAACAAAGAGAGAACACATTTTTTAATCCTATATATAGGGTATTGAAAGAATTTTTTTGTATGAATATACAATTTACTGTTTATTTATTATTGTGTTGATTCTGTTTACATGAAATATATTATATATCAAATAGGGATAAAATTGAAAAGTTGTTAAATTTTAAATGAAAGTTAATGAAGTTTAAGGTATTTCTTGGTCTGTGTGAAACATGTTGAAAGTGACTTATAAATAAGACCAGAAGAGTATTTATATTTATAAATATCTTCAGTCGTTGTCTACCAAACTACCACTACCGTCTCCTGCGTAAATGTACAACTAATCCATTTAAATCTGGAATGATGAAACTTTCTGAGCTGAGTTTCCTAAGTTCAGTTTTGTCACCTTCATAATTCTAAAAACGACACGAGTTATTCAAGAAGTCCATACCGTGATGTTACCCAAAAAAAAAAAACCGTAACATGAGAAAAAAACGAGTTATTTGCATGGCAAGAGTGGCAAGTTACAACAAATTAGGAAGTATTTACGAGCCTCACGTTTCATGTCGCAATAGGCAGAGCTGGCTACCACTTTTATGGGATAACAACCTCAACGTAAAACTCCCGAACTCCCAAATCCCTTTATATTAGCATTTTGTTCCATCCATTATTTCCACCAAACTTCTGGCTATATTTTCTCCTCCCATTTTTTCCTTCGGTCTCTTTTGCTTCATTTCGATTCTAACATCACCTTCTTCCTAAAAAAATTCTGTCTGTTGCTAGCAATTCACATTTTTTAATTCTTTTAAATTAAATTTATCCCATTCTCTCTGATCCGGTTCGTTCAGGGTGAAATGGAGATCTTCCAAAGGGCCCATGTGGTGCGTTTGAGGAGCCACCATGACAAATACCTGATTGCCGACGACGACGAAGAAACAGTTCGTCAAGATCGGAATGGGTGCTACAAGAACGCGAAGTGGAACGTGGAGATCATCGAGAATTCCCATTGCTTACGTTTCAAGAGCTGTTACGGAAAATACTTAACCGCCTCCAATTTGCCATTCATATTTGGATCTGGAGGCAAGAAAGTGCTCCAAACTCTGCCCAGAAGATTAGATTCCTCCCTCGAATGGGAACCCATCAGAGAGGGTGTTCAGGTGAGACTCAAGACCCGTTATGGCCAATTCCTGCGCGCCAATGGAGGACTGCCTCCGTGGAGGAACTCCGTCACCCACGACATCCCTTACAGAAACACCACACAGGACTGGATTCTCTGGGACGTCGATGTCGTAGAGATTCGTCCACAACAAGTTCAGCAGCCTCCCAAACAGCGACCCCGTCCCAAGCCTATCGCCACGCCACATCGTTCCGTGAATCCGGCCACAACCGAATCTTCTGCTTCAGCGTCTGTTTCCGGTGGTGACAGCTTTTCCAAAATCGAGCTCAGGTCTCCAAAAAGAATGGAGGTTTGTTTCTTTCTTCGAAATAAATGCCTTCGTTCATGTGAAACAATCGATTGGGAATTTTGAGGAGGAGAAAATTAAAAGGAAAAAAAAAACCGTTACTTGTCCCGTGCAGGTGAAAGAATTGGAGGAATACGCGCTATCGCCAAAGAAAGAAGGGAGGACAATATTTTACGAAGTGGGGGATGAGAACGGGGATGTTGAGCCTGGAAAGGAGAAGTTCTTCACGTTCAAGGGAAGTTCCGTGAATGAGCTGAAGGAAAAGCTGAAGGAAGAAACAGGGCAAGATGATATTCTTGTGTGTTCCCGGAATCCTTTGAACGGGAAGCTATATCCCCTTCGCTTACACCTACCACCCCACAATTCTGACATGCATGTCATCATCGTCCCTTCCACATTCCAAGGTGAGGTCCTTCGTGTCTCATTTTTCCCCCCCAACAATCTCAGGTTTAGCTATCCTTTAATTTTCAGAGAAATTGAATCCATTCCTAAACGATGAGAGATTGTTGCTTAAGTCAATGGGCTTTCTAGCAGAGCGCACACACACACGTATATATTGCCTCTTGATTCCTTCATCATTCTGAATTTGAAAGTTTGCAATTTTACTTGTACGTTGTTTGATTATGTTCTAACATCGATTGCCTTGTTTTAGCGTAAGAGCAGTAGTCAGCCCAAGGATGGCAGGAGGTTAATATCAGAAGTTCTACTATAGGAGTCCACAGCTCATTCAGAAGTTAAATGTGACATGTGCCAGATGAAAAACTGCAAGGCAAACTAACCAGACATTCAAATCACAGAGCAACCAGACAATTCAATCAGCTCTAAATTTAAATTGCTTTTCAAGTTGGTGCAGGGCTAAGCCATCTGAGATGTAATGCAGAGTGATGTATTTTAAGTATTTATTTTTCTTCTCAAATTCTGTACTTCAGAAAGAAAAACAAAAAATTCTATGGAGTTTTCCCATGTGCTAATTTTTACTACTCATTTTATTCCACAACGATCGTTCGTAGTAAGTGAAATTGTTGCCACAAGCGATGTTACCCGTGCTTACCACTTGGCAGACGATGAAAAGAGAAAAGCTTACTTGTGCGATATGATGTTCTTGATCAAATCTAGCGTGTAAGATGCATGTCTCTCTGATGTAGATTCTGTTACCAACTCGATTGATTCAAGACATGTCTTCGAACTGATGGGAAACAAATAACGAGCGTGTGATACAATTTACAAGAGATAAAATGCCTTTAAATTTCTAAAATTGTAAACAACAGACAATATCCTGAAAAGGAAAAAAGGCATCTACGGTAAGCATCAAGTTGGAACCAATTCCACCTATATAGAGTAACAAAGTTTACGTAATGCTAACAATCTGACGTAAGCATCTAGTTGGACCAACCAGTGAAGCGAGTATAAGGAGCTTGTGAGGGAGCGGATCCTCTGCGTAGACGACCATGCAGGACACCGCCCCCATAAAAAGACGGGGGGCCGATGTCCTACATGATCTTCTTCTGGAGTCGAAGGAAGCTGCTGGCGCACATGATTATTTCTTTTAATAAAAGGAAAGTTACATGATTGTCGTCATACTTTTATCTGACTGTAAAAGTAAAAGGCTCTTTGACAGCAAGCTCAGCAAGATCAAGATTGTTATGAATTCGCGGTCAGGCAAGTGGATTTATGGCCATACTTCTTATCAAATTAAGTATGCTTCCATGTTCAGGGATGAGGGCCAAGAAAAAGCGCTTTCTTCTGTACCACCAAGCAACTGTAATATACATGTTCAGGGGAAGATGGATTCATGAGTATATAATGGCTGGCCATGAAAAAGTGCTCCCTTTTAGGCATTCTCTCAGACACTTCCACGGCCATGTCTATGCATCCGCATTTTGCTTACATATCGACAAGAGGTGTCCCAACGTGTACACCAGATTGCAATGACCATTGAATCTACCTTCCCTGAGATAGAGCTCCAATCTGACCATAAGCCGTTAGCTCGCTAGGTACACAAAAATGTATCATCAGGCTCAACTCTAGCAATCATGATATTATTTCGGATCCTAATCATAAGACCTTATTTATAGTTTACAAATGAGATCTTATAATTAGAACTGGAGGTATTATTTCGGAATGGAATTAAAGCCTTAGCACAAGTAGCCAAGCTTCTCTTAACACGTGGATTCATAAGAACATGTTGAATCATAAAACGTATAGATTGGATATTATTGAATGTTAATTTTTTTTGTCATTTAAAACTATGAATTTCTAAAAATAAAATTATTTCATAATCAATATAAAATACACTATATACTCATTATACTTTTGTCCAATTAAATCAAAATAAATAGATTTTAAAGTATTAATGATATTAATAACCAAAATTTTTTATAGAATAAGAAAATATTAAAAAAAATTCACATCTCTTGATTTTATTGGAAACAATTACTCTAAATATATAAAACTAAGTACTGCTTCCGGTCCTAATTATAAGTGTTAGTTGATTAATTTAAGGAGATTAAGAAAATAAATTGAGTTAATTATTTATTCTAAATAGGTATTATTTTTTCTAAAATATCATTATTAATCAAGTGTATTGACTAGAACTCTTATTATCTTCACTCATCGTTACAGTTTTTAAAAATTCTCCCGCACCCTGACAGATAAATGCGGAAACTTTCGCGGACCTTTCCCGCTGGGAGAAGACGCCATTGCAGGTTTGCAACGCAAGCACCGTTTGTTCAGGTTTTGGATAAGCAAAGAGCATGGCTACTGACTCAATCCGCCTCGTCATCTCTTCAGGGTTTTCCTCCTTTATTCCAATTAACGGTTGGAAACGCGGCGGGCTTGCCTTAGGCCTCTGGAAAAGGAAGTTTTCTGAGCACATCATTTGCAAAAGTGAAACTAAAAGGGTACTTTTACTCTTCATTCTCAGGCATTGCTTTTCTTCCTACCTTTTCTTTGCAACCACGATATATTTGATTGTATTCTTTGCTAATAGTCAAGCGAAGAGCTATTGGTGGTGGTTGGGGGCGGAGCAGCTGGGGTTTATGGAGCAATTCAGGCAAAGACGGTGGCCCCCAATCTCAACGTGGTAATTATTGAGAAAGGGAAGCCTCTTTCCAAGGTATGTGATTTTTCTTTTTTCATTTGCGCTGATTGGGTAAGTCTCAAAAAGACGGTATATTTTGCACTTTTCTCATTAATGTTTTTTCGTATGGTATTTTTGGCAGGTAAAGGTTTCTGGGGGAGGCCGGTGTAATGTGACTAATGGGCATTGTGCTGACAATATGGTAATTTTAATCATGAACTTTTCTTGAGTATGCGACCTATATCTATGGAAGACATGTTTTGGACAACTATGATTACTTTAATCTAAACGAAACTGTCAAAATTGGTAGGAAATTTTGGTAGTTTGCATTTTAGTGTTATGGCATTCTCTGAATCCCAATCCTTTGTAGTGATAATTTATTTGGAGGTCAGACCAATTAACTTTTTTCTGGCTAATTTAATATCAAAAACCAACATTGAATTGGAAATATTATCTACTGCATATATCGGAATTGATTTATTACTTTGCTTTGGGGGGTTAAAATGTTTTATTCACCAGTGTTATCTCTGTTATTTTGAGTCATAATAATGGGTTCTGTTTTACCTGCTTCAAATAAGCATATTAGGCCTCATCATACTGGTCAGATGAAGTTTGGAATGTTGACTAGCTTGTAGATTTTGGCAGAACACTATCCGAGGGGTCATAAAGAATTTAGAGGATCGTTCTTTAATTTGCATGGCCCAGTGGATACCATGTCTTGGTTTTCCTTTCATGGGGTGGAATTGAAGGTAATTCTTGATACATTAGATTGTCACTTGTTTCTAAATCTATAAATATCTGATTCGTATTTAATTGCCTGTAGATTGAGGGCGATGGCAGGGTTTTTCCTGTCAGCAACAGTTCTTCTTCAATAATTGACTGTCTCATGTCTCAAGTGAAGCAAAAGGGAGGTACGTTGCCTTGGTAGTTTTTGCATTCTGTGGAGTTCTCTTCCTTGTATGTCGTCAGTCATTCGTATCTAACGTAAGCCGTTATTCGCTGTGATTTACTTTTTCTACCTTAATTTTAGCATTTATTTGTATTGCCCGTTTCATAAATCCTGAATAGATAATCTTTTCTTAGGGAATAATTTGTGATCGTGTTGACAATTCTGGACTGTATTTTCTGCAATTGGTATCATAATGTAATTCGTGAATAACTGATTAGAATTCTTCTCCCCGTTTTCCTATTTCTATCTTGGTTTTACATATTCCTGATGCAATGGTGTATTATCAACGCTGAATTTTGTATATTTGATCAGTTAGTATGCAGACCAGAAAAGCTGTAAACTCAGTGTCTGTTGCTAACAGTGGCAAATTCGTTCTCAGTGTTCAGCAGCAGTTAGCCAATAATGCTGAACGAGTTGAAGCAGATTATCTATTGATAGCTAGTGGTTGTAGCAAGCAGGTTGTGATAAATATATGATTTATTTGGAGCGTCATGCATTTCAAACATATTTTAAATGAAAATTTCTGTGTCAGGGTTACACTCTTGCATCTCAGCTTGGTCATACAATCATAGATCCAGTACCAAGCTTGTTTACTTTCAAAATAGAAGATCCACAATTGACAGAGTTATCTGGGGTAAAGTATTAAGTGAAGTTGTTGCCTTCGAGTTCTTTTACTTTGTTAATAAAGTTCTCTTCAGGAACATACATGATCTAAGTATATGGTTTCTGTTAATAAGCGTTGTACTTGCCATTCGTTAATTAGAATGTGACTTTGAGATTTTCTTTTAGAGGCATCTATCCAGTTACATTTTGGGTTTTGACTTTTTTCCCCCCAATGCTTAGACTATTCAGCTATTACATTCTGATGGTCCTTTCCGATCAAATCACCAGTCTACCCTGTATCAATGAAAGAAGTTGCAGAAGAATGATTTTCCAATTAGTATTTAGTAGCATATGTTTTATTCTTAATTCCAAGGGTTAATGTTTTGAATATTATTATTGTGTATTTGATCCTTCGGTGCAATATCCATAATGAAGATATTGAGGTTCTCTTTATCTGGAAAACCAAGACTTTTCTTCTGGTCATTTTACTATCATATCATCATGTCGAGGATGCAAAACGTGCCTTGAGAAGTGGAGAATATTATCCTCTTTTTTTTTAAAAAAAATAATTCTTGCTTATCTTGTCTTTCCTTTTTTACTGGCCAGATTTCATTCACTAAAGTTAAAGTGAGACTGAAATTGGATAATGTCCGAAGGAATATTCCCCAGCTTACACAGGTATGTTTCTTTAACAACCTTTGACCAAATACTCAACTATATGTATGCTATGCTACCTTAACTTAAATTTCAGGTTGGCTCCATGTTAGTCACACATTGGGGACTCAGTGGGCCAGCTGTTCTTCGGTTATCTGCTTGGGGGGCTCGTTATCTGTTCAGTTCAGGGTACAAAGGTAAACTATGTTTTTCCCCCCTTTCAATACCAGTATCATTTCTTTCATTTTCCTGACATTTTTTTCCAACTCATTTACTGAGGTTGGCGTCAATTGGATGCAGGGAAACTGATTGTTGATTTTACCCCAGATTTGCATGAAGAAAATGTGAAGTCTATCCTTTCTCATCACAAGCATCAATTTGCGGTAAGTATGGAACCAGGGCACTTCGTCAGAATAGTAGTATTATGCAATCCATGTTATTGTGTATGAAAGTTGAAAAGCAAAGATGCGTTTCGTTATTTTTTCAATGGTGTTTCTTGGTGCTTTAATATTAACCCATTCTTGCCGTTTTGGATCTCTTCAGGAACATCATAATTGTCGCGTGGGTTAATATTCAAGTGTCTGACCTTATTTTACCAAATACCTCCATATATATTCTATTAATAAACCCTTATGTTTTTAAAGAGCATTAATCTTCTCTTAAATTGGCTCCTTCCACAGGGTAGTTCTTATTTCTTAAGTATTAAAATTGGCATTATGTGCCTCCAGTGACAGCAACATAAGTAATTTGATCATAGGCCTTAGCCAATAGGCAGCAAGTTCCACTGAAACCATAGACTGTTTTTTCCATTCATTACTGGATTATAATAAATTTCCTCTTTTTCTAGTTGGGCTTCAGAATGACAATACGTGATTGTTTTGCCTGTGCCTCTGCAGAAACAAAAGTCTATAATTCATATCCTCCTGATTTTGGCATATCGAAAAGATTTGGTGTTATGTGTTGAACCGACAGTTATGTGGTTATTCCTATTTTTCAAATATTTTGCCGTTGACAGTGGTAACAA